AAACTAGACACCTTCCTGTTTGGTACTTTAATGCAGCATAAGGAGTTCAGCATAGTTTAAAAAATTCTCTAGTGTTTTATATACAGGTCAGGCTTTCTGACTAAGTTGTTTCTTTTGAGCTTAAATCTCGAATCTGAAGCATTAGGATAAACTACAGAGGGTGATCGGGGGTGTGTTTTGGTTTGACAGGAAAATATTAAAAAACTAGACACCTTCCTGTTTGGTACTTTAATGCAGCATAAAGTTGTTGGAGCTCAGCATAGTTTAAAAAATTGTTTAGCATTTTATATACAGGTCAGGCTTCATGACTAAATAATTTCTTTTGAGCTTAAACTCTACCTGAATGAAAAGTTCTACTTGATAGATCAGGACAGTACAGTAACTGAGCGTCTGTCAAGTGAGCTGGTAAGAATGGAAAAGGGAAGAGCGTGATAGATGTTTTGGAAATCAGCAGGGTTTGGGGCTGCCCATATGTCTCTTAACTTCTAGATTTTTGCAGTAACTCCTTTCATGACAGAAAGAAATCCTTAGCACACCACTGTTGACAGTTCATGAGGCATCTGTGGAGGATCTTCTCGTGACAGAGCCAGAACCAGACCATCCTGGGAAATGCCAAGTCACAGGAGTTGTTCTGGGTATGCGCTAGTAACTCAGTAAGCACCTTCAGCTACTCCACTCTACAAGCAGCCTTTGGGGTAAACATTTCTGATTCATCAGTGAGAAAGTTGAATTAGCCAACAGAGGTGATTTAGGCCGAGTGTGAACTAAACTACGTTAATATGTGTAATACAATGAAAAACATACCTGGATTGATAGGATATTGGGAGGTTACTTAAGTTTAATTTTCTTCAGGCTAGTGATACTGAATTCTCCGCTGCATTTTGAGATTTTATTTGGTAAATGGCATCTGCTGCCAACAATGTTACGGGGCAGCAGTATCCTGTTACTAGCAGACTCATGCTTTATTACCTCTTGCTGTTCTAGTAAACAAGCTTTCCAAAGTAAAGGCCCGGATAGGAATTTTTCCCAGGAGTGGGTTTTCTGTGTTAGGGGCAGCATGCTTAGGAATAAGAAAAATACAGGAATAACTATATGCTGCTTATTGCAGTTATTACTATTAATGCTTTTATTATTGAAATGCTAATTTGTTAAATAATAAAACATGGATAAACCCTCAGTGAACACTGTTAGTCTAGCTTTAGACAGAAGCATCAGGATACCGGCACTTTGTTGATACTAAAATATGTGCCTCTGAAAACTTGCTGTTTCAGGGGATGGGAGCACAGTACATGCTGGGAGTATTATCCTGACCACCGGTACATTTCTGAGGGGTATGGTCCTCATTGGACTGGAGATGCATCCGGCTGGGCGGCTAGGGGACCAGCCAGCCATCGGGCTGGCTCAGACTCTGGAGAAACTGGGATTTGCTGTGGGCAGGCTGAAGACTGGGACGCCGCCCCGACTTGCCAAAGACACGATTGACTTCAGTGGTCTGGAGGAACGTGCAGCTGACAATCCTCCGGTACCATTCAGCTTCCTCAGCGAGTCTGTGTGGATCAAGGTGGGATAGCACATGTCAAATGCACATAGAGCCGGGTGGGGAGCGGTTTCCAGGAATGTCTTTCTCAGAATCAGCCAGAGAGTTGATGGCTGGGAGAGGGAGCTGGGCTGTATTCATACTGGAGGTGTTACGTTTCTGAGGACTCTCAATGCAAAAGGAGAAATTGCTGATTTTCTTTTGAAAGCAGGTACCTTTTTCCGCTCACTTCTCAACTTGAGAACCAAACTTTCTTTACTTTTAGAGCCGGAATTGTGTGAAATATGATACTGTTAGTAGTATTCTTCATGTGCTGGTTACGTGGGTGGTTTACAAAATGCTTCCGGTATTAGACCTGTATTGTGGAGATTTATGATGTCTTGCTTTTTACCCCAGCTCTAGAGTAAGATTAAGATGTTGAAATTAGAGCTCATCAATAGTGTTGACTAGGAAAGAGAAAGGATGGAGTAAACCACAGAGCTGAGAGGTGGCATGTTAACGGTAACTTAAAAGCAGAAGAAACTCCATTTTCCAAAGAAAATCTTGGAAAATGGATGGCGTTCTTACATAACGTAGTTAAACAGCACAGAATTAAGTATCAGGCGTTAATTTGCCCCAGAGCATATAGGAATTGCAGTAACCTGTTATAATTGGGGTGGGGGCAAAAGTAATATCCCTTTATGTCCTTGGTATGTGTAGGAAATGTTTTATGGAGTTGAGGTGCAACATTACTACTATTTTGAATGTGAGTCTATTGACTCTTTTTCAGACAAATCAGTGAAATACTTTATATGGTGGGGTTTTTTTGCCAAACCTTGAATTTTCCGTGTTAATTGCAGGGGTTTGAGAGATTTCTTTTTTTTTTTTTTTTCTTCACCAAACTATTTAATTGGGCTGTTAGCTGTAGAGTCAGCACTTATTCCTCTCACTTAAAAACTTTGAATTCCTGTGGTTAATTTGAATGCTGTGATATAATGTGTTGCTTTAATAGGAATATCCATCCTATAATTTGGAATACAGTGTATAGAATAGAACTTGAATTCTGGACTCCCAAGTTCTGTTCTGTTCTTGGTCTGCTTTGGGGCATGTGGCTCAAGCTCTCTGATGGCTTGTGTTCTATCTGTACAGTGGGTACAAAAACACTACCCATCTCTTCAGGAAGTGAGAGCCAACTGTTGTGGAAATGCCCTTGGAGATCCTCGAACAGAGTTGTTCAGTAAGAGTACAGTGTTGTGACTGGATTAACTTAAAGTGAGCTTTGGCCTCTTTTCAGCCAGAAGATCAGCTGTCATGTTACCTGACTCACACTACCCTGAAAGCCCAGCAAATTATCCATGAGAACCTCCACCTGAACAACCACATAAGGGAGACAACAAGGGGTCCACGGTAAGTATGTGGCATCATGCAAGGCTCTTAATGGCACGAGCTGACAATCTGTCTGAAACGGTGGCTCTCCCTTGCTTTGCGTCTGGAAAGTTACTTTTTCTCCATGTCAGGTGGTGCTCACGGTTATTTACTGTTGCAGGTACTGTCCCTCTCTTGAATCAAAGGTTCTGCGCTTCCCAAACCGAGAACATCAGGTGTGGCTGGAGCCCGAAGGCTTGGAGTCCAATGTCATCTACCCCCAAGGCATATCGATGACGCTGCCACCTGAGCTCCAGGAACAGGTGATCAAATCCATCCCAGGCTTGGAAAAAGCCAAGATGCTGCAGCCAGGTGAGGGGGGTGAATAGTTTTAAGTCTGTTTGTCATATTGGTTACCAGTTAATAAAACCAGATTTTGTTTAGAGCATAGCAAAACAAAAGAAATATGAAACCAAACTAATTCTTGGATGCAGGGATTGTTCCTTGTTTTTTTTTAAATCGGAAATAAAAGTTGATAGCCTAAGTCATGCTGCCCTGCTGATTGCCTTTGGTGATAAATAGGGACCTTCAAAATCCCTTCCATAAGATCTGTCTCATTGTTTATTGTAGGCTACGGGGTGCAATATGATTATTTAGATCCCCGTCAACTGACTGCTTCTCTCGAGTCTCGTCTTGTTCAGCGCCTCTTCTTTGCAGGCCAGATAAATGGCACTACAGGCTATGAAGAAGCTGCAGCTCAGGTGGGTGAATCTGATCATGTATACTCAGCACTCAAAAAGTGATGATATTGCCTTGGCATTTGTCTTTGATACGCAGTCTTGCTAGGCCCATCTTGTGCTAATGAAATGTTCTTACTTTTGTTGTTCACCCCGATTCCAGACTTGCCCAGGTAGTTTTACTTTTCGTATCTACAGTTGCTGTTACTGAGATTGCAGTAACAAGAGTAACTGGAAGCACTCTCAGATGTTTCCGCATGGAGACTGTGCAATGGGTATAATTGAAAACATGTGGGAATTGTCTGCAGTCATGTCAGCAGGGACCAAGAAGCCCTTCAGACACCCGTAGTATCATGAGAAAGAAACTGCCTAGATTACTAGCACAGACTGTTGCATTTTCCAGGGTACAGTTTGACACATGAGTCTTTGGAGGTAGATGTGCTGATATTTTAGCCATGAAGAGACTGATAAATGTTTGTTTTGTTTTCTGTCTGCCCAGGGTGTGATTGCTGGGATCAATGCTTGCCTACGAGTTCATGGCAAGCCCCCTTTCATTGTCAGTCGCACTGAAGGCTATATTGGTGTCCTGATCGATGACCTTACCACCCTGGGCACCAGCGAGCCATACCGGATGTTCACCAGCCGTGTGGAGTTCCGCATGTCCCTCCGGCCTGACAATGCCGATGCCAGGCTCACCCACAGAGGTATTTTATTATGGTGGCTCTTGCAGTGAGCAGCCCTGCCTGGTTGTAGACCTTTGTCTCATACACCGTCTGTCTCTGCAGGTTTTGAAGAAGCTGGGTGTGTGTCACAGCAGCGATATGAACAAGCAGTTAAGATGAGAGCTGCTTTAGAGGATGGAATTGCAACGCTAAAATCCCTTCAGTTCAGCATATCCAAATGGTCCCAGTTAATACCAGAAGTTCCCATTAGTAGCAGTCGAAGGTCGCCTGTCAGGTAAAGGTTACAGCTGAAGCTTTCTGGTCTGACCTACGCTTGCTTTAGCACATCTGGCTAGTGGTTTCACAGCGTTTGTCCACCCTTCCTGAAGCCGTCAGTACTCCCAAGATTCCAGCTTTGTCACCTTCAGGGGACAGACGTCTGATGTTTGCCTATAGAATAAGTGCAACGTTGGTGTTTTTACTATGTCGCATTTCCCAGTGCTGATGCAGGCTCCCAAAGTAAGGGGGG